AAAAAATCTGGGCCTATTCACTGAGCTCTGTCCCTTCTGGCAATAACTGACCTACAACACGCCACAGGAGGGTCCTGGTAGCGCCCACTGCCTCCGGGGCCTCCACTGCATGGAGGCGCTCAGAGGGGAAGAAGGGCGGAATGGGGCGGAGGCCAGTTCACCTCATCCCAGACAACGCGACACCCTGGGTTCCTCGTGCACGGTCCCCAAGGATCCACGTTCTTTCGTTCATACCGTGTGGGGTTTATTTTCATTTCTTGCTTTTGTTTTACAAAACAAAACCAACCCTTAGGTCTGCGGCCCGGCCGCGGCCTAGTCACGGTTCTGCGCGCGATCCAGCACCAGCAGCGGGATCTCCTCCAGCCTCTCGGGCCGCTCCCTGCGCCGCAGGTAGCGCCGCCTCCACGACGCCAGCCTCTGGAGCAGCCTCTGCAGGCTCGGGTGGCCCCACAGGCCGCGCTCTGAGGTCGCCTTGCCCGGCCGCGCGTACTTGCTCTTCTTCCTGCGCGGGCCGCGCGCCGCTGAGATCCGGAAGAGCCGCCGCCAGCACCAGCATCCGGAGCAGGCGCCGCCGTCGCTGGAGGATGCACGCCGCCCCGTCGCCTCGGCCTCCCCGCGCTGCGGGCCGCTCCGCTTGGGGCGCACTATCTTCTGCAGCAGCTCGTGTTGCAGGCCGCCGCGCAGAGGGCCGCTGGGACCCTCGTCCGCCATGCTGGGCCTCGACCTCTCCGCGGAACGCGCTGGACGGGCGGCCAGGGCCCAAGTCTCGGGAGCTGACGAGCTGGGCAACTCTGCGGCGGCCTCGGGGCACGAAAGGGCCCTTTGCGTCCTCTTCCAAGGCCTCCCGACGGGTTGTGCCCCGTGGCCGCTCCCTCAGGTTTAGGTTACCAAGGAGACTGGAACGGTGACCCCACAATGCCCAGCAAAGGCCAACCCCGGCCCAGGCCTGGGACCCACCCTCAGCCACCGAAGGAGTCGCCAGAATCCAGATACCCAAATAATGCCCCAGGCCACACGTAAGTGGGCCGTGTACACTGTCAAGTGACTTTCAGACTTGGCCTAGGTAGGCAGAAGGGTCTTGGACTTCCTAGGGGCTAACCTCCCCTTTGCTAATGTACTAAGCATCGACTGCAGAGGTGGCGAAATAAATAGCATCTTCATCAAGACTTGAACTTCAGGCCCAGGCTTGCACTGCCCCAGAGATTTATATATATATTCAGATACTCTGTACTTCGTTTGTTCGCTAACAGGGAAGTCGAATTTCAGGCTAAATCCCCAAACCTGATTTTCTTCATCTGGCCTCACCCACCTAAGATCTCTTCCTTGTAGGATTGTGATTTTTCAAATTATTTTTTCCTGATTACAAGTGTAAGATTTTGTGGAAATTTTGAAAAACACACAAAGAAGAATAAAAACACCTTTTTTCTTCTTTATATACTTTTTTTTTTTTCAACACAGGGCCTCCTGCATGCTAATCACCAGTTCTACCAATTGAGGTACACCCAGCCAATGTACCATCTTTGCACTTGACAATTTTCTCAGGTTCAAAGTTAAAATAATGATAGCTACTATGTGTCATGCTTATTATGTGTTAAATATTCTACTTACCATTTTGCCTAATGTTTCTCCCTAATTTTGTAGCCCACTGACAAGTGAGCAGGCCCTGGCACAAGTCTTCCTGAGCTTGAATTCTGGCTCCAACAGTTACTAGATTTAATGTTAGACAAGTTACTTAAACTGTCAGTGCCTCAGTTTATTCAGCTATAAAACTGAAATACTCTACTTCAGAGGGTTGTTGTGATGATTAAATGAGATAATATGTGCAAAGTAATAGCATGTTATTAGCACATAGTAATATATTATTATGCAATCCTCACAACACAAGTGAAGTGGTTCTGAAGTAAAGTAATAGTCCCAATTGGCCAATTGGGAAAACTGAAGCCTAAAGAGAGTACATTATTCACCTGAGAGAGTATAACTTGTCAGTTAATGATGAGGTTCAGAATGTCGTCCCAAAATATGCCCCTGAGTTCTCAGACACCTGTCAGCATGTCCACAGCTGCTCAGACTAGTCCTAGAGGACCCTGTGTCCAAGATTTCCAGATAAAATACAAGATGCACAGTTGAATCTGAATGTCAAACAATACATACTGTTTTAGTATAGCTAGATCTCAAATATTGCATAGGCATTTATCTTGGTCAATTTTCTGTTGCTCAAATAGAATGAGAAATTGATAAGGATAGAGGTTCATTTTTGCTTAAGGTTCTGAGGACCAGGAAGTCCAAGAGCATCACATAAGCATCTACTCAGCTTCTGGTGATGGAAGAAATCAGAAGGGCAAGTGGCACTTGCAAATGACAGATAATGCAAGAGGAAACCTCGTGTTAGACACAGGAGAAAGGAATTAATCCCTCTTGATGACCTAATCACCTCTTAAGGCCCTACCTCCCAACACCACCACAATGGCAAATCTCAAAGCCAGATCTCCAGCTCTATCTGAGATTGCCCAGACTTTCACTGTTAGACTGGGGACACAGTGGGCTGCAAGCATCAGCAGATGTACAAGCCTGACAGGAGGTACGCAGAGAGTACCCACAGAAGGAGTAGTTTTGGCTTAGAGAAACCTGAACACTGTGCCAAGGAAGTGCCTTCTGGTGTCTTGAGAATGGAGTGATCTAGGACTGAGAGAGGGTTATGAGACAAAATAAACTAGGAGGCAAATTACATATGTAATGCAATATTTTATTTATATACACACACACTCACCTGAAATTCAAATTTAACTGGACATCAAGTATTTTTATTTGTGATCCTACCAACATTATGGGGAGCTTCAATGTGTGAAAGCACTTGGGGGAGTTTTCCTCCAGGTTCCTTGGAAGATCACCTGGGCTAAAAGCTGTCCAGAAGTCGGAGAACTCTCCACATCCCCTAATTCTTAGCAGAAGCAGATTTCCCAGCCCACCTTGTCCCAACCAAAGAACCCAAAATAGCACCAAAGACCTAGAGTCTTGAAAGTTGAAAAGAACTTGCCCTATAAAATAATGGTGATGGGAACCCCATTCTCCCTTCTCAGAATTTTAAGCAGATTTGAACATGGCACCCCCAAATCCAGAAAAAGAAGCAGGATAGTATAATCAAGAGCATAAGTTTCGGGATCATACCTACCTGTTCTAAATTAACCAGTGATGGAGTGAGTCATGGACCCTCTGTAAACTTCAGTTGTTTCATCAGAGAATGGGATTGCTATTCCCACTTACAGTATTATAGTGAGGAGCAAAAAAGACCAGGCACACACGGGTTTAAAACAGTGCCTGGCACAAGGCAAATGCTGGACAGATGGTGGTCACTGTGGCTATGGAACACTCTCCATTTTTGCCTGCTCGAATCTCCTGTCCCAAACAGTCCCCAGCCCATTTAGGGTCTCATGAGTCCCAGCAGTGCCTGGAGCTAATGACAAGCTCTGTGATCTGAAACTCCTGGAAACTCTCCCAGGAAACTTGGAATGCAGAGATAAGTGACAGAAGAAAACAGATGGCTTCCGGCTTTTTGTGGTCTGAATGGTGAAAGATCAGTGAGCTCCGTGGGAGAAAGCCCAGTGCCAATGGGATCTGATTCAGGAGACGGCCTTCCCCACCTCTGCAGGCAATCCCTGCCCCTGTCTCAGGCACCTGCTGACCCTTCTATCAGGTACAGCAGCAACAATCATGCCATTGGATTAGGAGATTCAGTCAGTGCTGGGTCCCAGCAAGATGGGGTCAGTGACATCATTCCTATATGAACAGGGACACATTTGTAAGCAGAGACATGAGGTGAGAGAGGAGAGCACCTACAGTGATACCTGCCATTACTCAGATAACTGGGCCAGAAGAGGGGCATGGAACTGGAACAAAAGAGAACAGATTTTTGCCTCTGCTCTTTACAGATAATGCCTTCATTCTAGTATACAGACTTTGCAAGGGGAACATTTTATAATTGCTCTTTGTTATAAGAATCTGTCTTCTTCAGAAATTCTCAGATAAAATGTTGAGGAAATTAATGTGTCCTAGAAAAGGCTTATTAGTTACTATATTAGGAAAGTGAATTCTCTTTCCAAGGGCATTGGTAACTATATTCTTAAATGTTTGTTATTGTAGTGATCTTGAGGGAACCTGATCCCTCCCTTTTACTGCATAGGTAGATACTTTTCATCAGTATTTCAAGGTTACTGAAATGTCAGTAGTTTAACCTTCAGTCAGCAGAGACTTCCTCTGGAATACGCTAGTATGGCCTGTGGAAATCCAACACATTTCCAAAGAAAGAAATCTAAAGATTTATGCAAATCCTGTTCTCCTAATCCCTTTTTTTATATGTACTTCTCTCTTTGCCCCACTCCACTCTAACATTCTCAAAATCCCTCCTATATAAAGCACAAAACATTTTGAAATTAGTAGACTTTAATGGAGGCTAGAAGGGAGGGAAAAGAATGGATGAGAGCCCTCACAATACAAAAATACCAACAACTTCCAGAAGAAAGCTAAAAATCACAGTTCTTGAGAGGTGTCCTCTCCCTCCCTCCCCCACCCCCTCTCTCTCTTTCTCTCTCAAGCCTTGGCGAACTTCCCTGATCAAACCCCAGACTTTCTCACTCTCCCTGGCTCCTTTCAACTTTGGCACTCTCCTCTGCCTCCTATTCTCTTCTTGTTATGGTTTGGATAAACATCTCATAAAGGCCCATGTGTAAAGGGCTTTGGAGGTGGTGGATCCTTTAAGAGATGGAGCCTAGTGGGAAGAAGTCAGGTCACTGGGGATATGCCCTTGAAAGGGGTATTGGAACCCTAGCCCCTTCCCCTTTTTTCTCTTCACTTCCTAGCTGCCATAAGGTGAGCAGTCTCTTCCATCACATACTCCTGGTAAAAAGTTCTGTGCTACTATAGGTCCAAAGCAATGGGAACAAATGACCATGGACTGGAACCTCTGACACTGTGACCCAAAATAGCCTTTCCTCCTTATAAACTGGTTATCAACAGTATTTTGTTGCAGTATCAGGAAGCTGACATTCTCTTTTTTTTTTTTTCTTTTTTCCTTTTTTTGCAGTGCTGGGGGTGGAACCCAGAACCATGTGCCCACTAGGCAAACACTCTACCAGTGACTATAGCCCTGAGAACTTTTTATTTTTATTTTGAGACAAGATCTCATTAAGTTGCCAAGGATAATGTTGAACGATGATCCTCTGCCTCATTTCTCAAGTAGCTGGGATTACAGGAGTGTGCCATTGAACCTGGTCACACTCCTTCTTTTAAGAAGGAAAATATATATTCCCTCCCCTTCTTCATGGCAAAGGAGTTTTCCCATTTCACTGATTATCTTGACACTCGTAGACAACTGACTCCAGAAGTTTGCCCATCTCAAGCATGCTTCATGTTTTCTTTGCAATAAATATTTCTACCTAAGAGAAATTCTCTTTTAATTCTTTATGTTTTATTGTTGTAATATATATGTTTTCTGTTGCAATTACAAAATTCCTGAGACTTTGATTTAAAGAATAGAAGAATTGGTGCTGGGATTGTGGCTCAATGGTAGAGCACTTGCCTGGCATGTATGAGGCTCTGGGTTTGATCTTCAGCTCCATACAAAAATAAATAAAATAAAGGTATTGGGTCCATCTACAACAAGAAAGAAAGAATAGAAGAATTTCAGGATTCTGGAAGCTGAGAAGTTCAAGAACATGGTGCCAGCATCAGATTAGCATCTGGTGAAGGCCTTGTACTGCATCATAACATGGTAGAGGGCATTGCATGGATCAGCAGAATAAGTGAAGCAGAGAAAGCTCACTTTTATAAAAACGTGGCTCCTGTGATAGTCTATTAATCTTTGAATGGATTAACCTGTTTAAT